CCCACCCCGGCCTCAGCCCGCGCGCACCTCGAACTGCCAGTGGGCCGCCTGCAGCAGCTGCTTCGCCTGGTCGGCCGCGCAGCCCGCGGCCAGCACGAACTGGTTGATCATGACCTGGTGCCGCAGCTCGTCCATGTTCACCGACATGGCTCCGGCCGCCGCGCGATCCCGGCTCGGCGGCCGCGGGAGGTCGGCCGCCCTCGGCTCGCGCTCGCCGCCGCCCGCCCGCGGCCTCCGGACCCTCGCCGCCCGCCGCACGCCGCCCGCCCGGCGAGCGTCCCGGTCCGGCTCCCGCGGCCGCCGACACCACAAACAACGGCGCGGGGCGGGGCCGGTGTCCAACGTTCGGGGGCCGCGAGCCGCCGCCGCTGATTGGCCCGCGCCGCTCGGCCTGCGCCCGACTCTGGTGCGGACGTTCGATTCGAATCCTGCGGCCTGCGGCCCGCACTGTTTCTCTTTTCGCCCGGCCGCGCCCATTGGCGGAGGTCGGCGCCGTGGGGCCGCCCGGCATTGGTCGGCGGCTGTGTTTTGGCCCGTCCGGGCTCCTGGTTGGCCACGGCCAGGAGTTTGGGGCGGAGCCGCGCGCGCTGATTGGCCTCCCGTGGGTCCGTTTGAACTCAACTTGAAAACCTTGAGTGTCTGCTGATTGGCCGAGGGCCCTGTGTTTGCTGTTGTAGGCTTGGGGGTGGTGCGGCCAAGTTCATTCATTACTTCATTGAAACTGAACATGCTCAGCTGGAAAAGCAAGACAGAGTGGCTTTGACTCATTTCCTCTGAAAGATGTGGTCATCTCGAGAAACAGAATGATCAAAATAGAAAACAGACAGAGGCTTTGCAGTTGCTCAAGTCCAAAAATTGTTTATTTTTTTAAGACTTTCAAGCAGCTCTACTTTTTTTTTTTTTTTTTAGCCTTTTATTGAAATAGTACCGGCTTTCTGCCTCCTTGCAGTCACTATCCTCCCCAAAGGCCGAACAGTCTCTTCCTGGTTTTTAGACCAAAAACTTTGCTCTCTGAAGATGTAAACCAATGTTAACATACACTAAGCATAGTTGCAAAGGGGAAAAATTAGTAACTTTTTCAGTCAATATCCCAAGCCGGGAACTTTTCTTTTTCTTTTTTCTTTTTTCAACTTTTCTTTTTCTTAAATCGCTTGACCTAGCTGAAGTTTTAATTTCTACCATCTTTCTAAAAATAGTGTTTCTAGGGGCGCCTGGGTGGCTCAGTTGGTTAAGGATCTGCCTTCAGCTCGGGTGATCTCCGGGTGCTGGAATGGAGCCCCTTGTCCAGCTCCCTGCTCAGCGGGGAGTCTGCTTCTCCCTCTGCCCCTCCCCCCCGCTCTTTCTTCAAATAAATAAATAAAATCTTAAAAAAAAAAAAAAACACAGTGTTTCTATACCAGCACTGGCTCTCAACCCTAGCCATTTAAAAACAAGATTTGTTTATGTGTGCTGAGCCTCCATCTTCTGGATAAGGATGTGACCTTCGGGGGTGCCTGTCTGGCTCAGTAGGAAGAGCGTGTGACTCTCGATGTTGGGATTGTGAGTTCGAGGTTACAAAGGTAGATATTGCTAGGGATTCACTGTTAGAATTTCTGTTTCTGAAAAACTTAGCAAGTTTTGGATCTGAAATACCAATCCCACGGTATATTGAAATTAGTTAAGGGTCTGCAGAATAGGAGGCTAGAAGAAAGCAAGCCATGGTTCTATTTTGACTTTGCCTAAAGTGAATGTAAGTCTTTAAGAAAACTTGACCATATAAAAAATAAAATATAAATAAGAGAAAAAATTACACCCGATGTTTATGTACTGATGGAAAAACAGCCTCAGGCATTATAATGAGCTTGTCCCATTTAGTCTTTTTGTTTGTGTGCTTGCATGTTTGCTTGTTTATTTTGAAGGGGAAGGAGTCAGCTTTTTGACTGCTTCTTTTGCCATAATGAAGCGCACACGGGCTGAGCCCCAGAGTGTGGCTGGAGAGTCAAGTACAGCTTGCAGCCCTTCCCTTCCAATAATTGCAAGGTGAAAACAAAAGTGAGCAGCCAGCAGCTTGTATTACCAGGGAGCTCAGGCCATAAGCAGCCCCAGAACAAGGAAGTACTGTCATTGTGGGGTTCCAGTGTTCACAAGTACATACAGGTGGCAAGCATGCCACGTCCATGAGTGGTAGGATTTACCCAGGCAGAGGCATTTCAGCCTGCAGGATCCCTTGGGTCTTAATTAAGAAGTTCTCCAGGAAGACCAGTGTCCTGAAAACACCAAAATTACCACCCCCTGCTCCCACACCCCCAGAGAGAGGGAGAGCAACTGTCTCTGATCTTGGCTGAGAGAGGTGGGAATGCTCAGTCAATAGTTTGGCTTCTGAGAATCTGGTTGGAGATGAATTCGGGTATGGCTTCCCCTTCTCAGGCTGGTTAACACAAGAGTGTCCCTCTCCTGGGAGCGCAGGGAGAATGAATGAGGTCATGTTTGTAGAGGGCTTTGAGCTGCTGGGATGAAAGCAACTCTCCAAGTGCGAGGTATTATTAACCGAAGGTATCATTATTTTAATCTGAGAGGACAATGTGCAGCAGGTAAAACAGAGCAATAAAAACCTGCCCATTAATAACAAGTCAAGGGGCGCCTGGGTGGCTCAGTTGGTTAAGCGACTGCCTTCGGCTCGGGTCATGATCCTGGAGTCTCGGGATCGAGTCCCGCATCGGGCTCCCTGCTCAGTGGGGAGTCTGCTTCTCCCTCTGACCCTCTTCCCTCTCGTGCTCTCTATCTCTCATTCTCTCTCTCTCAAATAAATAAAATCTTAAAAAAAAAATAACAAGTCAAACAGTAGTAGCCTCAGAAGCAAGAAAATCCTCGTTCCATGAATGGTCTGAGCTACAGAGGGAGCTGAGAACTGGAAGAGAGACGGTCACAGTTGGTGTTTCCTGGGGCGGCTCTCAAGGATGTTGTGAATGTAAGTCGGGGAGTGGGTGCCGAGACAGGCAGCAATAGCTGGACCACAACAAACCACCACCGCCTACCAAGAACTTCCTGTGAGCCAGGCACCTTTCTAAGAGTTTAATGTCACTGCCGGGCAGGTAAGGCACACAGGGGGGGAGGAACCTCCCCAAGGTCACAGTAGTAAGTGGTGGAGTGAGGCATGGCCTGGGGTCTCGTTCCAGAACCTCATGGTTACCCCTTATGGCTCGCCCCCGTCCTTCGTGCTGGAGAGGTTGCCTTTTCCACACAAGGGCTGTCAAGGGCACTGGGATTTCCACTGGGGATACTTGGACATGAGTGAGCCCCCGATGGGGAAAAGGGGACGCCAGTTGTCTTTGTATCTTCGTATTTCTTGTTTCCCTATTGCTGCTTCAAGTTGCCATAACAAAGGGACAGGTGGCCAGGAGAAGCAGAAAGAAGTTGGGGGAAGGCGAGGGAGGGTGCGAAGGATGCCCACGCCAGGATGAGAAGGCAGCATGAAGGCCAGCAGCACCGAGGCCCCCTGGGCAGCTGGCTGAGGCTGGAAGTTCCGGCCCAGGAAGGGGGGCTCAGGTGCTGATGGGTGGGATGGCTCCCTTCCCCTGTCTTGGACTTCCAGTGCTACTCCTAGCTTTTGTTTGCTTCCCGCAACCTATGTTGTGCTACTAGTTTTCAGTGAAAATTGATGCTATTTCTACTAAAGATAGTGGGTTGGGTAGACCTTGCCACTTCAAAGCATTAGTTTTGTTTTTTGTTTGTTTGTTTGTTTGTTTTTCCTAGTCTTTCTCCTTAAAGAGGATGGGGGCTAGCGCAGGAGTGCTCCCTCTACTCCAAGCAAATCCCAGGTCTCCTCTGTGATAATTGAGATTTATGTCTATTGAGAATGTACTATGAACCCAGCTCTGTGCTAAATCCTTTGTTTGAATTACCTTATTTAATAAGGTAATTACCTTATTTAACAACCCAGTGAGGTGGGGATTGTGCCTATCCCCAATTAGCAAGTGAGAAAAGCAGGGTCAGAGGGGCGCCTGGGTGGCTCAGTCAGTTAAGCGACTGCCTTCGGCTCAGGTCATGAACCCAGGGTCCTGGGATCGAGCCCCGCATCGGGCTCCCTGCTCCACGGGAAGCCTGCTTGCGTTCCCTCTCTCGCTGTCTCTCTCTGTCAAATAAATAAAATAAAATCTTTTTTTTTTAAGATTTTATTTTATTTATTTGAGAGAAAGAGTGAGAGAGAGAGAGAGCACAAGAGGGGGGAGGGTCAGAGGGAGGAGCAGACTCCCCGCCGAGCACGGAGCCCGATGCGGGACTCAATCCCGGGACTCCGGGATCATAAAATCTTAAAAAGAAAAGAAAAGCAGGGTCGGAGAGGTTAAGTGACTTGCTCAAGGTCACTCAGCTAGCTCCAGGCGGAACTGAGCTCTGAACTCAGCTACGTGTGTTTACCCGCAAAGCTGGTGCTCTTAAATATCATAATCTACTTTGTATCCCTGCCTAGCCCCTGGCATCCACCTTCTCTCCTCCCTTGGTGTTACTAGAAAGATAGAAAAGCGTGTCTGGGTTGTTGGATGTAGCAGGAAGGTCAAAGCCATTCTGCAAGTGATGAGTTCATGCTGTTTTACACCAGATTACATTTTCACCAAATGTCACATGTCCCCCAAGGGACAAAGGCCATACCACTCCCAACATAGTAAATGGCATTTCCTAAAAGCCGCACTGGGGGCCTGCACTCTGTCCTGCGCCAGCCAACTGGGTGATAAGGTGGCCTCACCTCCTGTTGCCAGGTGTGTCTCATGGTAGGTGAGTCTCTGACAACCTTTCGAAGGGACACTGGAGGTGGGGTCTTTGCCAAAGGGGAGAGGAAGGCAGGGTAGAGAGACAACTTTCTAAGGAAGGTTCTCCTTCTCAGGGGCCTTCGATTGTCCGCTTGAACTCAGGCTCCCAGCCACTTTCTCTCGATGGTCTAGGAATTGACTGGCGTGGAGCTGGGCCTCTGTAGCCTCACCGTTGCATTCAAAAACATGGGAGATCCATTGCTGTGGCAGCTGCTGCTTCAAGTTTTGAGACAGCCTTCTTACCTGAGCCAAACTTTTTTTTTTTTGAGAACTATATCACACACCAAGGGTATAACCTATGCGTGGTTTGAGGAATAATGAACAATCACCCACGTACCAACACAGAACCTAAGATGTTCAAGACTCTCACATGAGCCTCCCCAAAAGCATACCTTCCTTTCCTCCCCAGACCTTAATC